CGAGGATGGGCAGGCAAGACAAAAAGTACTTGGGTGCAGAAAACCAAGCTGTTTTCTCAAGCACAGGATTGATTTCTTCAGTTTTGAAGAGCAGTATACTGCTTATTTTCAAAACGGTATCTAGTGTCTCAATAGAAAACTAAATGTACTAAAATTAAACCTTAGCACTTTCATAGGCACCAAATGTCAATTACTAATCCAGACACATTTTTTCCATACAATTTCATAGTGCTAATTCTGAAGAGCTGCAGAGTTTGGGGCAAGAAGTAACTACTTAAAAGAAGAGACAAAGCATCACAACAGATCTGTGACAACCATTAATCCCACAACAAAGAAAAAATAACCACAAGCAAAGTAGAAAAACCATATTCCTTTACAACCCAAGAACATTCTGACCTTAATTCTGAAGGTAAGAAACTACATTACACTTTAACTATGCATTATTGTCAAACATAATCCAGCTCATAATCTTCTTACCCGGCTCTGGGGAGTGCATACGTAGCAACAACGTCCCACAAATGGCCTTTTTCTGCTCAGAGTCTCCTTCCATTTTAAAGTGGCAGATCGGAAGAGAGTAGGCCTAGAGTTACACTCTCCCTACAGAACAAAAAGAGACTATGTAAATATCCAGCAATGTATAAACAAACACTGGGTATTTGAAAACTTTTCATTAGAGGAGCTGCCAGACACATGCACACAAAACTTCTCCAAAAATTTATCTGTAACTAATACTTATTCTTCCTAAGATTTTTCCTAAAAAGTATATCCTATCATCTTCAAATGATGTAATTTTTAAAAATAAAAGCAAAACCACTGTGTTGTGCTTAGGTATCTTAAGCACTGCAGCTTATTTAAGCAAATTTGTTTATTTAAGCATTTTGTGCGTCAGCAATAATTCTTGTAAGAAACAGCAAGAAAACTGACAGCTGAGAAAAGGGGGAGAAGTCAACAGTAAATTATACACTTAATAACGTAAAGGTGCTTGTAATATGAGCAATCTATTTCAAGCTTTTAGTGGACAACACCCCATAGAATTGCAATTTGAATACGCACCAAACACAAACCCTGCTGACTCTGTAAGCTCTTCTCCAGCAGTTTCATTGAAAGCAACGTGGAAAAGGTACCACTGTGCCATTGTTAGGAGTAAATTACAGAACCGTAAATTCAAAAGTTACATTTACAGAACACATTCTGTTTGTTAGGACATAATGAAAATATACTTCACTAGAAGTTTGACAAAGCCTGCTCCCATTAAAACTACTGAATGATTGCTTGCATGAGCATCAGGATCGCTGGACTCAGATTTTCTAAATAAAATATTGTTAAGTTTTTAACAAAAAGGGAAGCCACAAAACAAACCAAAATAGTACATTCTAGTGGAAGGCAAGCATGGTAGAACCAGTACCATAACCCAGCATGTGGGTCAGAAACACAAATACAGATCATCATCTATCCAGCTAGAAAGCCAACACACTGAGAGACAACCAGAAAGTCAAAAGTAACACTGAAGATGACTGAGAACAAAAACAGGCATATGTGACATTTGGAAAGCAGTATGAATGTGAAATTATTCCAAGGTTAACTCTTCTATCTGAAATTAATAAGCACCAAAATCATAAAGTTCCAATCAGTCCCTCCTTCTCTATCACCCTCAGTAATGCTAATTCCCTGTCTCCATCATTGTAACAAAAATGTCTTCCTTCTGATGCTTCCAAGCCTGTCCAAACTTTCTTGCTACCTTCTGACAACACCTCCATCCTACTGTTTTTGCTTGTTTGAGTTCATCCCTCTCTCACATACCTCTCAGTTACTGCCACTTATCATAGAATGGCCAGGTTGGAAGGGACTCCCCCGAGGATCATCAAGTTCCATCCCCCCTCTGCTGCACGCAGGGACACCAACTTCCAGATCTGGCACTGGACCAGGCTGCCCAGGGCCCTATTCAGCCTGGGTTTGAACACCTCCAGTGATTGATGGGGCATCCACAGCTCTCTGGGCAGCCTGTTCCAGCACCTCATCACTGTCTCTGTAAAGAACTTTCCCCTGACATCCAACCTTCCCCCCTTGATCTTGAAGCACTTGCTGTTCCACATCCAGCTAGATACAAAATCCAGCCAATGAGACATTTGCCCTTTCCCTCAACTCTGATCATATCTTCAACCCTTCTTCCTTACCAAGTTCAAACTCCTCCTCTCCAGACCAGAGCCTATTCCTCCTGACTTATGTTTCTACACTAATGAGCAGCACGCTCATCTCCATGTGGCTTTTTGCTTCAGCTGGCCATCTCTGCTCACTCCCTTTTTTTTTTGCAGTCTACTGCAAATCCAAGGCACACTCTGAGGACACAGACTTTTAATAGGTTCCTTATTTATATCCACCAAGTTTTCTCTGCTTGCTGCACTGCATGATTAGCTCCAACTGTAACAGTTACATCACCTTGCATCTTTAATCTCTCAGTCTTTTTCCCCTCACACATTTCAAACAAGTACACCCAGCTCTCTGTATGACTTTCTGTTTGACTTCAGTCCCCTACAAAATGTAATTCTGCATGTCTGCTACTATATAGAAGAATGAATAATATCACAACAGGACACTGTAAGACCACAAATTGGGCTTGATATGAAGATCTCCTCTCCCAAGCAGTCATTAGTTGTTGGAGCAGCTTTGGACTGTTGGTTCTTCCTTATGCCTCAAAGTTCAATTCAAACCAAAACCTGTATAATGCACGAGAGGTGATATCTTCAAAATGAAAAAAAAAAAAACAACAACCTGCCTTCAACTTGAATAATAATAATAAAAAAAAGGTAAGATGACGAGCTATATTCAGTATTTTTACTTACCCATTCTTCATTGGAATGCTTACATCTACTGACACTGCACTCTGCTGAGGTGGACAAATAAGAAACATCTATTGTTCCAAGCGACAAAGCAGTTTCATCCATGACACACGAGTTAACGGAAGATCAAATGCTACAGAATAACAGATAAATATTTATATAAATACACATATACACAAATATAAACATTTACATAAATACATATACACGCAAGCAATTTCAGTGACGGGTATTTAACAATAAATTAGCTAACTGCTATTCCAGCACTTTTCAGTAGAAGTTAGATGCTGAAGAAGTTTATTTAAAGTCCACCTGATTGAAGCACACCAACCAGCTACCAGCTGATTTTCCTCCTTCTGCTGTTATTCCCAATGCTGATCAATGCAGTCCCTTCATGCTTTCCCACTGTTCTTGACTGTGTGACTTAAACCAGCTGCAAGGTTACACATTTCACTCACACTTTCAAAAGTTTACCATTCTCTTACACTACGTAACCTCGTCCTTTCATCACCTGCTTCCAGAAGACAACTATTACCTACACCGAATTTCATTTATGTTCTCTCCTAATCCCATCTCACAGTATATTTTATGTGCCTGGTCTAGCTGCAGTCAAACCAGTTTGCAAACTCCTCAGTCGAAGGAGTGCTCCACACATAAGCACAGCCCCACTTTCTGCACGCTGGTGCCGTAAGTGACATTACACACCCGCCGGATTGAAAGCACTTTACGAGTCTAAACTAACACAACTATTTTGAAATGAACGTTTTATCTTTCCTATAGTAAGCAAGGCAAACAATTCTCCCTCTCCAAACAAACCAACCTAAAAAAAAAAAAAAAAGAAAAAGCAGGCCAAAACAGAACAACTCAGCACACCGTACTGCTGATCTGCAAGTCACGAACCAGCGCAATGTGTAGACAAGAAGTGTCATTGAGAAAGGAATCCCAACATTTCCAACCAGAAGAAGTATCAGCAGCAGCTGTGCCCGCCCTGCAGCCATCCTTGTATCACAGCCAAACTACACACCACCCCGGAGCGAGGTGTTCCGCAGGACCAAGGCCCAAGAACTCAGCACAGCACTCTGCGTCCCCGAGCTCCCTCCCAACAGGCACAAACCTCTCCCCCCACCTCCCCGTCCCGCACACAGCTCTCCATACAGCCGCAGCCCCGCACGTGTGCGCGTCGTTACAACCTACGTGCGCAGGGAGTCCTCTTCCTCTCCGCGGCTTAGTTCTATTCGCCTCTTTCTTCACATCGCTGCTCAGGCAAACCAACACCTGAGCTACGCGATAAATATAAAAAAAAAAAAGGGCTCACGAATATCTGAGCAGCGACAACGAAACACGTCCCCAAATTACGCTCAAGGTGACCTTGGCTGCACCTGCACGGCCAGCAAGCGAACCAAAGCAAATACACGATTATAGAAGCCGGTCCGAGTCCGAGCGGCGGCAGCTCCATACGTACCTCCGACAAAATCCGCCCTTCCCAGAGCCCGTTCCGCTCACGCCGCCACTCGGCTGCAGCCCGCCATCCCCGAGACCGGCTATCAGTAACACGGGGCGCTGAGCGCCGCACAGCCTGCGGGCAGCGGGACAAGGGGCCGGCCCAGAGCAGCGCCGAGCTCTCGCACCGCCACTCGGCTTCCCCCGGCCCTCCAGCCGCAACTCTCCGTCCTCCCGCACCGCGCCGGCTGGTCCTCCTCAGCGCAGAGCGCGCTCACGCTCCCGGCGCCACGCTCCGCGCCGGCTACCGCCACCGGCCCGCCCCCTCCTGCCCGCCCCCGCCCTGCCCTGCAGCGCCCCGCCGCCGGGGGCAGCACCGCGGAGCTCTCTGGCTGCAACCGCTGCCCCCTTGCCGGCGCCGGGCCTGACGCGACTTCCTGAGCGCCCGCCGCCATGCTGCGCTCTGTGCCGTGCTCAGCCGCTCTCGGCAGCCGCGAGCCTTGCGTCTCGAATCGGAGCTGCTGGAAATAAAACCTTTAACAAACAAACAGACCGAAAATCGTGTTCGTAGGGATGTGCAGCAGCTCGGAGCTGTTGAAGTTGGAACCATTGCGGGAAATTCGGGATAGGTATCGATCCGCCTCCCCGGCCTTGCGGCACTGCCAGTTTGCCTTTCACTGAATACCAAAGTAAATGTTGATTGAGATTGCTGCATGCAAGCAAACATGGGATCATCGCATAATTTGGCTTTGGCGTTGCTGGGCTATTTAAAGGCAGTGTCGCTGGGGTGTAGGTTCGAGCTGTGTGCCTGTAGGAAGGCTGCTGTCTGCACTGTTACTTGATACAGGTATAAAGTAACACATCATATACCCCATTTATTTTATTTTTTAAATTAAGCCAGGGAGGGATTCTCTTTGAGCAGACCTCATGGCATACGTCCAGTATTTAGAAGGGGAACCAACTTTTTACCGGAGTAAACAGTGATACGACAAAGGAGAATGGTTTTAAGCTCAAGGGCAGAAGGTTTAGATTAGATGTAAGGGGGATGTTCTTTACAGAGAAAGTGGTGAGGTGCTGGAACAGGCTGCCAGGAAAGGCTATGGATGCTCCATCCCAGGAGCAGCAAGTGAGCAGAGAGGGCCAGCTGAAGCAAAAAGCCACATGGAGATGAGCGTGCTGCTCATTAGTGTAGAAACATAAGTCAGGAGGAATTGGCTCTGGTCTGGAGAGGAGGAGTTTGAACTTGGTAAGGAAGAAGGGTTGAAGATATGATCAGAGTTGAGGGAAAGGGCAAATGTCTCATTGGCTGGATTTTGTATCTAGCTGGATGTGGAACAGCAAGTGCTTCAAGATCAAGGGGGGAAGGTTGGATGTCAGGGGGAAGTTCTTTACAGAGAGAGTGGTGAGGTGCTGGAACAGGCTGCCCAGAGAGCTGTGGATGCCCCATCACTGGAGGTGTTCAAACCCAGGTTGAATAGGGCCCTGGGCAGCCTGGTCCAGTGCCAGATCTGGAAGTTGGTGGCCCTGCCTGTGGCAGGGGGGGTTGGAGTGTGATGATCAGTGGGGTCCCTGCAACCCAAGCCATTCTATGATTCTAGATGCCATTTTGACCTTACTACAAACAAGAACTACCCATGCTTGTCACACTGAAAGTGCATGAGACTTGACAGAAACCCAAACTACATGTGTTAATGAACTTCCCCATTTTCCTGTTTCTCCCGTATCCAGGAGAATATTTAGTATTCTTTTCAAAACAAAAGAGCTGATGCTTTCCTAAGTGCATTCTGCAGCTTACGGCCCAGAAGAGATTTAGGACTTCTTTAGCAAGCAAAGGTGCTCTGTTTGTTATAAGGCAGACTTTGGAGTTTACAACTGCTTTTCACATCATGCTTTAATAATGTGATCTATTGAAACACACAGCTCTTGTGAGAAGACTGTATTTCTGCATAACATACAGAGCAGTGCTTGTGAACAGCATACAGAAAAGCACCATTTCCTAAGATCTTGTATTTGTATAGAGAAAGGACAGTCCCTAATTGTATTTCTTACAGCACATTCACATTCTGGAGTTTTCTCCCAGTTTTCTCATCATCTAGGCCAAGAATTCCAGATCTGATTAGTATCTGTGTCAGTTCTCATGAAGGAGAGCCAGTTCAAACAGTGCCAGACACCCACTTCCAAGCTTTGGTCTTCCAAAGGTCGCGTTTTGTGGCCACTTGTGAATTGCCAACTTCTCACTGACCAGCCTCATAACCAAGCATTTGACTTTGCACCAACATTTTATGAGCTGCTTTAGTGGAAGTCAATGAGGAAGAAATCAGAGTCTGCTTTCTGTTGTGTCTGTGGAAGCTAAATGAATTTGTAACTGCTTTGCAGCCCATACTGGGTCCTGGGGGGAGTTTGTACTAGGTGGGAAAAGCACACATTGAAAGAAAGAACGCTGAACAGTATTGAAAGGGCAATTCAGTGCTATGCTGCCTGTTTTTGTATCTGTTTTTGCAAAAGGAGCTCATCAGAGTGGCAGCCAACATCCTGATGTAACCTGCAGCCCTCACTCTGATTGTAGCATCTTGGATGAGACCACGTGGCCATGGGGAAACCCGGAGCTGTGCCTGAACAGGCAAAGCTGATCTAAAAATCACATTGGAGGAAATGATTCAGCAAATGGATTGCAAGAAAATCGAGTGAGACAGAGATGGCGAGAAATACTGAGTTGAAGAAAATGCATTAAATGTAAAGGTTAAAATTCTAATTAGCATCATTTAATCATGTTATTGCTTCACTGCATTTGTATTTTTACTTGGGACTCTACTAATAGGTACTTTCCATTGTAAAGGACTGTTAGTATCACTTACACACAATTTTACCTTCTCTAGGTATAGAATTGCTTTAACTTTCTCCCTTTCTGCACAGTTTCCACTTGTCAAAATATGAGATCAAACAGTGCATTTAGTTTCAGCGTGCTGTGTTGTAACTCAGAGTAAGCTCCCAGCTATGGAGAGTGAAGTGCTGGTCTACATCACATCCCTCCAAACAGATGGAGTGAATACAGATCTTTTAACTTGTTGTTCCATTGCACACTTTTTTTTATGTTGCAAAATTGGTTATTTGTTTGATGTAAGTAAAACAATACTGGTTTTATCATCATTTTATACTAGTTTGGAGAACATATGCTAGTGTTTATGAGAAAGCTGCTTAGGCAGTTCTCTAGGCTGATTTGAAAGGAGTAGTAAATAGATGCAGTGTTTTACTCACACATAGTGATTGTAATTAAAAAAAAAAGGTTGTTTCTGGTATGATTTTAAAGCAGTGCTTTTGTTTTTCTAACTTTAGCAAATTCTTGGCTTTTAGTAATATAAATCCAGAGATAGTTTTGTCACTCATCTGAAAAGGATAAAGAATTAGTTCAATGGCAATTGCAGTTCAGCAAGATCCTTTTGCAGGATACACTTGTATAAATCCTCAGGCTTAGTGGTAAAATCTCATTCAGTATTCTGTGCTTGGTACTGATGTTGTGTTGCCATGGAATCAGGGAAATGAGGAAAAGATTGGAATGCCCTGAGGGAACAATCTTTGAGGGCTGTATGTGTGCCAGAAAACTTAAATACTACTAGGTCTCGCTTCCAGAAAACAGGGACCCTACTTGGCTTCCATTGAAGTCGATGTGGGCTTGCCACTGATCTCAGTGGGAGCGGGAGCATGCCTGAGTTTTGCAGTGCATCTTTTTAAACTTCTTGCACTGAGGTGTTTCTCTGCCAGTGAGGCCAGCGAGGGAATTTGCATTTGATGGCAAACCAGCAGACCCCTGGCACTCTGTGAATAAGCTACATACCACCCCGTGCATGGCAGCCTGCAAATGAGAACGAGCCGAAAGGATTCATGTTTTGTCAATTAATGATCAGTTTTTCCTATGTTCACATTCCTCATGAAGCATCCAACGGAGCGCAGCAAAGCACCTGTTTGCTGGAAGATGCTGTAGGGAGGAGGGGGTGTAGGGCAGAGGGAACTGCTTTGTACGTGGTGGCTACCCCTGCTCCGTGCTCCCAGCTCGCTTTCAGCAATTCCCATGATGTCACTCCTAGAGCGGAGACATCTTTACAAAAGAGTACACTGCATCCTCTTTAAAAGGAAACTTTCAGCCCAAGGGAACGCTACAAAAATTAGGAAACCAAAAACTGCATGAGGAGGGAGAACAGATACAGACAAAGATCCTTTATTTGCAGTGACCGAGCTTGACCTCACGGGACTGTGAACAATAATGAATTTGCAATTTGGCAGTCACAGGACTCAGTGTCAGCAGCATTTTCTTTGGTATAAAATATACCGAGAGCATTTGAGACTGCCAAATGGCCATGAAACAGATTGATAAGAGTGTATGTAGAAGTGGCTTGGCTATACTTTATATCTCCTTTCAGGACAAATGATTTCTTCTCATCTATTTCGTCTCCCTTATCTTGAGAACCAGTACAAAATTCATTAAGAGTACAGTGGCTGTCTCCTGTGTAATACAGCACATTGTGTTTCTGTAATTTCTTCTCATTCAAATATCATATTTGCTACTTGAAAAGATAAAGGCGTTTCAGCCCAAGGTGCTCCCTGCTTTTCCCTTGATTTTGTAACTCGTGTCATTACAAAAATGGTTTTTGTTCTAACAGAAAGCATTGTTGGATTAAAACCAGTATAACTAAGTTTTCAACTTACAGACAACATAGCACCATTCATTTATCAAGCAATAACACACATACTTGTATTACATACAGTTCAGAAAATCTTAAGTATCCAAATGAATTTGCCAGCATTTTTAATTTAGGGATGCTAAGTGGCAGAATTTGGAGTAAGATTCCCCTCCTTCCCCCCAGACCTTAAGCAGCTTTCTAGCAAAACAGTACAAACTTTCCTGTACCTATGATAAATAAGGGGTGCATTTTTAAAAAAGTAGTTCAGTTCTCTGTTTCTGTTTGTTGAGAATATTTGCAAAGTTGGTTGTATTTAAGAGTTGACTTTACCTGAAAAACAACAAAAATGAAACACTAGTTTGTTATAAATTGGCCTAAATACTATGGGATTAATTAAAAAAATATATGCATTTCTAAGTCATTAAGTATGTGTGAAAGACATTGGCTATAAAAAGGATAAATAGTGTTTTGTGTTTGCAGGTATTTCAAGCTCCACTAACAGCTTTATATCAAGCCCACAGGACTTTTATTTGTTGCCTGATCTCCACAGAAGTCCAGGAGAAGGTCAGATGCCTCTCATTTCACAGAATGATAGAATATCCTAAGGTGGAAGGTACCCATAAGGATTATAGAATCCAGCTCCATTCAGTGCCTTTCCAAGGACGCAGTTCTGCTTTTTATCCCTCCAAAGAAACAACAAAGAAATGGAAATAAATCGGAGAGTTGAGAGGAGCATGGACCATTTTGGGGGGGAAAAGAAGACATAGCATAAATAAATCACAAAATTGTGATCTTATCAAACTCACTGTGACTCATCCTTGAGGGCTGGCAAATTGCTATAAGAATAACACAACCACTAATTATCATGAAATGTCAGACTAGCTTTTCATCAGTATCTCTTGAGGAGGTGATTTTCACTGCTCAGGTTGGCTCTGTTCTGCAGCTGTCGACTTTAGAAACACTTTCCACATCTTTCAACCCCCAGGAATGTGGATATTGGAAGTCATGAACACAGGTGTGTCTTCAATACAGAAAAACCTATACAACAGATTATTACACGAGGTTTCAAATACACCATGTCTCACTCCTTCACTTTAGTAGGGGTATTAGTGTCCCCCAGCATGGAGCTGGTATTGGACACAATCCCCAGATTGTTCACACATCACAAGGTCTGAGAGAGGCAGTGGGACTGCACCAGCAAGGTGCAAGTTGTGGGTGCTGCTCTGTGGCTGCTGGAAGAGGCTTAATACTTCTGCTGTGAAAGGAACAAATGCTTGGTGTGACACTATTAGAATTGCTGGGATGTCTATTGCAAACACCTAGAGAGGTCTGACCTTACACAGTGATCCTGTAGGTTCCTTCTAACTCAGACATTCTAGGATTCCATATTCCAATGAAGGTGTCACAACCCCAGTATTTTCCCATCTCTTGTTTGATTGCCTGCAATGAATGGAGCCATCTCCCAAATGCAGGCTCCTCACAAACCCCTACCCAAATTACCCAGGCAACAAAATGGGTTTGCTGGTTTTGCTTCTGCAAAATAAGAACTAAAACTTCCCATAATTGTTCAGACTTTTTTTTTTAACATCAGTCTCACCAAAAAAATACAAGATCGCTAGGCTTCGGTTTATCACATACATATCTATTACTTTGCATTTTTCTACGTGATTACTTAAGTAGACCATAAACAAAAGATAAGCTATACTTTCTGTTTCAGCGCCACAAAACTGACTAAGTACCCTGACAAAAGGAATTTTATTTCAAAAAGCCTTTGGTTTTTTTCTTTAGACTAATCTGGCTATACCAGTTGTTACATTTCAATTCTGACACTCAAATCATATTGAGCAATTTTCCCACAGCGTGTTTCCCAAACAAAAGCTTTTTTTTCCTACTCCCACTTATGTGTCTCTTGAATCTGGGAACTGCAGCAAATATCTTTGTTAAAGTTCTGGAACTTTTCAGTGATAACAGATATTCAGCTCACAGCAGGATGAAATTCTGCTTAGGTTGGAGAGTGATTTTTTTTGTCTGTTTGTGTATGTGTGTTTATTTTTAACTGTTTGAAGCATAAACTAATAATTTTCCAAGCTCCTTATACTTCTGTGACAGAACAGATCTTTTATGCATATATCCTAGACTGTTCTTGGAATAGCAAGTTCTTGAAAATAGTATTTTCTCTTGCAAATAGATGATGTTTTTGCAATTCTCACTTTTGCACTTTATGAAAGGACATTACATATGTTCCAGCTTTGTATTTGTACATGGACAGCCATTGCTTCAGGAAAATTATATGGCGTGCAGCATTACAGGGTGGTTCCATCAAGCTGTTTGTGGGGTTAGGATCAAGTCACTCCACAGGACTGCCAGATTTAGGACCATATATACATAGTTTATTGTTACTGCTCTTTTCTCTTGTTTCTCTCAAAAGCAGAGGTAAAACAGAATTAGGTTTTGCAGGGTTTTTGTTCACATGTAGTGAGAGTTACCCCAGCATCTTGCAGAAAAACTGAGCTCCTCCACTCAAGCTTTTTCCAGCTTTTCTCATGAAAGAACTTTCTGAGCATTTTCACCTCTCAGATTTATTTTTCCAGATTGCTAACATTCACCATTTCTTACATGCATATGTTTAAAATGTGATAATCAAGTTAATGAATTAAACAACAACAACAAAAAAAACTACTGGGAAGCACTGCCAATAAAATGGAGATGAAAATGTTACACAGGAAAAACTGGATGTTCATAGTGACCAGAACAATAGAAAATGGGTGAAATGCTAGAGTGCACCAAAAACTGACATAAATTGCCTACAAGTTATAAGTTGCCATCAGTTAGAAATGGCAAAAACCAACCAACCAACCAACCAACTAAAAAAAACAAGCCACCTTGGGGTTTAAGTTGACCACACCATGAGTGTAAGCCACCAAAGTGGTGCCACGTGAGAAAGCATTTCCCACAGTATTTCCAACACAACCAGAATATATTCCTGCATTATTTGAAAAGTGACATTATTGGGGAAAGTATAAAACTTTATCTACAGTACCATGTCCAGTGCAGCTGCCATTCTTCTAAGCAGATGACTTTCCACAGTAACAGGTACAGAGCAGGGCTAACTCTATGGTGATCAACTCTAAAGCAGCAGTGATGGAGAAGGAGGCTCCTTTCTAGAAATTCCTCAGGGAAAACAGTAGATAGGGAAGAATGCTTCTGTGAACTATGAGGCAACGTTGGCACAACTGAGAAAATGAGTAAGCACTGGCCAGATCACAAACTGGAAGAGGCTTCTACACAGTTAAAAAGTAATTTCTGGAACAGCTTTCCAAGAGAATTTTTGGGCAAAAAAAAAAAAAGCAGCCTCTGCTCCAGCCTACATCATGGGATCATCCAGACATTTTTGGACATTCCTTGTTCATTTTTAGCTCCTCTGGTAGATCATTAGTGCATCTGGGCCAGGATGCACCATCAGTAATCCCAGAATTATGAAAGATGGAGTAAAATCTCATTTTTTTTGTTTTTACACTAAGGACACAAGTTGCAGCTACAAATGTCTTAGGTACCATACTTTAACAATATTTCAACCTGTAGCATAGTTATCTGTTCACGATTAACCCTCCAACCCTCAAAATTAGAGCCAACATATTTTGAAACATGACTTATTTTTTAACCTGGGCCTTGTTAAATTTCACATAGCCCAGGTCATATTGATCTGGAGAGAAAGTTATCTGTATCTCTGTACTTGCAAAATCTGGAAGTAGAACAATGAATGATCAAAGAACCTGAATGCCATTTTGTAACTTTGTGGTCAGTAGCACAACACACTCTCTCCCCTTCTCTCTTCCATCTTTCTCTACAGGAGACACCTATATAGGATGGTTTCTGAATACAGGCGTGCCACATCTTATATTCACACAGCCAGCTGATGTTCAGAATTGAAAAAGTTCCATGCAAAGCAAAGTGTGCATTTGCAGAGGACCACACCAGATTATATGTGCTGATAGGGCACTCCAGTGAAGAAATGCCTTAAATCTAACTTTTGGGGTCTGCTATTAGGCTTCAAATTAATAATTCAGACATCTTAATGGAAAAAAATTAAGTGTTTTAATAGCTGGCAACATTGCAATCACAATCCTTTCAGAGTACTTCTGATTTAGATTTAAATACTTGCTTTGCTTTTCTTAAACTAAATTCTCCCCGTAATTTCAAGTGTCTTCACATTCCAGGCTAACTCCTGTCTTTAGTGCAACTGCCAAGACATCTTCAGACTCTCTTTCATCAGTACAGATACCAGCTTGGCCTAAATAAAATCAGATTAAATACAAGAAAAAAAGCTAACACATTGGGTGATGTATAAAATGCACCTCTTCCCAAACAAACAAATAAACAAGCAAACAAGCAAACCCACCTTGTAACTTGACTTCTAGTGTCTTTTCTGGTGTCTATATGGTACTGTGTTTTAGCCAATTTAGCATGAGACCCTTGGGGAAAATCATGGCAGCACAAACGCCATTGGTTAAACTCCTAAACAGAATTTCATCACATGTGTACCATGTTATAGGATGACTACAGCTGCATGCTTCCCGAGGTCTCTTTTAACTTCTATCAGCCTTCTGTATTAATCAAGCATTTGGCTTATGTAGAGATGATATTAATGAGTGTAAAATTAATTCCACTGAGAGTAACCTTTGTAACCATGCTCACATTATCAGTGGTGATTTGTGCAGGATACCACATGGAGCTGTAATCTATGCATCCTTTCGTAACAGGCATTAAGAAGCAGTTGCACAATGTAACACAAACACCAACATGGCACAGACAGGATCTTGAGTAACAACCAAAGCAGTGCCAGAAGGCAAATTCTACCTGCAGGAAGTCTTTTTCCATGCTAAATGCATCTCAAGAGATGCTCTGAATTTCAGTGGCTCGTAAGCAGATAGTCCATTTGCAAGCCTTTACGAACAGTCTGCCAAAAAGTTGTACTTCATCTTAAAACTTTTGCCTTTAAAACCCTGTTAAAGGTTTGGCCAACCCTGTTAAAACTTTGGCCAACACTGACACAAAATGTGTGTGCAATTCAACTCATATCTTTATTGACTGCAATAATAAACTTTTGCTCTAAAGCAAACAGATCATTAGCAAACATATTGTTGTGCACTGTGGTCTCCTGGGCCTCACTCCTCCCATGCTCCCATTCTTTCACTTGCTGTTCACATGCTTCAAGTTTGGTAGGTGAGCCTGTCTTGGTGGTGCCAGGGCCTTGCAGCTTTCTTAGATCTAGTACAGGAGTATTTTTTCCCTAAACAAAACTAAACTCCATTTGTCAAAGCCCTTTAAAGCAGATTAATCATCAAAAGATGTTCCTTTTGAACAAGGTGTTCTCTCAGATCTGTTTTGCTGCAGTTTACACCCAAGTCAGCCATGCTTGAAAACACCAAAATTATGTCACTCAGGAACATAATTTTATTATTTTTTCTTAATGAAATACTTTCCTAAGTGGTTTCTACCACCTGCAGTTTGGAGGACAGTATAATGGCATATAGACTTCTTTCCTCCCAGGCAAAAATCACACCACTATTATTTGCAAAGTGCCATTTTATCTCTATATACTGCTGCATACAAACTGTCTATGAATACAGAGAAATCTGGGAAAATTTCATGAAGGATTTACTTACTGTATTCTGAATTCCTTTTAAACTTCCTCACTACGTTTTTTTAATGCTTCTTTATACAGGTTGCTCCAGAGTTGTTTGTCATCTACAATATCCTATTTGTATTGCTTGGAACTAGCAGATAGACACCAT